TATATAAGAAAAAGACCCCAAAATCGGGACTGTCCCTATAAAATCGGGACATCTGGTCACCCTAGCCCGAGCTAAGCTGCTGGAAGCAGAGCTGCAGCCCCAAAGCCAGAGCACAGCCCAGAGAGAGCAGAGCTGTCCTGGGGGCAGAGCTGTAGCAACCAGAGCCAGAGGGGCCAGACAAGCAGCCAGGAAGCAGGTCAGAGCTGGGAGCAGAGTCACAGAAGCAGCCTGCAGAGCAGACCTGTGCTGGGGGCAGAGCTGCAGCAACCAGAGCCAGAGAGGCCAGAGAAGCAGCCCAGGGAGCTGAAGGCAGAGGAGCAGCAGCAGCCGTGCTGAGGCAGAGTGGAGCTGGAGCCGGAGCTGGGGCAGTCCGGAGCCGGAGCTGGGGCAGTCCGGAGCCGTGTGCAGTCCGAGTGCGGTGAGCAGCTGGGGAGAGTGAGGGGGACCCTGGGCAGTGGGCCCAGCGCAGGGAGACACCTCAGCCAAGAGGCCCTGCAGGCCAGACTTGCAGGGGGATCATAACCCCGACTGGGCGGGGGCGACGCTGGGAAAAAGGGTCCTGCCACCTAGAGCCTGAGAGCGTGTGGCCACCGCCAGAGCAAGTGTCCAATCCACAGTGTCTCTGCAGCACGGCTAGGGCCTGAGAAGCAGGCCTGGGACCTACAAGGAACAGACTGAACTGCCCTGACGTTCCAGAGACACTGGTTGTAATGTTCCCTGCCACAGAGCAGGGTGATGTGTTTTCCTCTGACCTTTCCCATTTTTCCTTATTCTTTTTTAAAATTAATTGTTAATTAAACAACTTTAAATTGTATGAAATGATCAGTGGGTCAGGGAGGTGCCCAGTGCAGAGAGAGTACCCCGGAGTGGGGACACCCTAGCCCCTGTCCTGAGTGACCACCGCAGGGTTGGGGGTCGAGCTCCCCAGGAATCCTGGGCCCAGCCTTGTCGGGGTTTATGAGGATTCTGCCTGACAGGAAAGTGGAAGGGGAGTCCTCAAGGGCAGGGAGGCCTCTGGGTAAAGGAAGTGGGAGCGAGGACTCGGATCCTTTCGCTAGCCCTCTTCACCGGGGTAGTGCAGAAGCCAGGAAAGTTCCCCACAATAGCGGGACCATTCCCCCGCTTACATGATGAAGGCAGACAAGAAATGTCTTTGTTGCGGCTAGAGCGGACGAAGGGGTCAGAGCTCCTCTCCTTCTATTTCTTGTACTGAGGATTAATCTTCCTATGTGTGACAGAGAATCTGACCTGATTTCAGACCTGGGTCTCCCCTCATTCATTTATACCAGCAAGATTCCATTGAATTCAGCGGAGTGGAGTTAGGCCTGGTTTGCACTTGTGTGAGGAAGAGCAGAATCAGGCCAATCATTTCCTCTGTGTGCCTATGAGGAATCAGGGACTAACTACAAATGCAGGGGAGAAAGGGGCGATCCATTAATACAGTGTGGGATATTTATACTCACAGACTCCCCCTCCAGGGCTTGAAGATGTTTGAGAAAAGTGCCTGTTCTCTTAGTACTAGACCATGGCATTTCATTCCTCTGTAACCAAATGTTAGAGCTCACACAAGTTATTTAATTAGATCTCTAATGCTGTAGCTTCTTTTGTGGGGAGCAAGGAAGTATTTTAATTTTAAATCAAATTGCAGAAGTGGAGTAGATACCAAGGTAAAATGGTCTTGAATTTGCCAGTCAAGATTCAAGATGTGTTGTGTTTGTGTTGCTGAATAAAGCCAGCTTGGGATGGCTCTGGCACGACAATGCAGCAGAGACTATGAGGCTTCCTGACTGGAATGAGGTACCATTGTCAACCAAGGAGATTAAAACAAAATTAAAAGCAGATCATAAACCCCTGGGAAAAACCCCAAAGTGCCCACAAAGCAGCGCATCTTAGGGACCATCAGGAATGGAGTCGTGTTTGAACAGCACAAAGGGATCCTGGTCCATGATGTGGGCTTCTAGTCACTAATGATAAATAGATTAATTATCATTATTATTATTAATAATAATAAATACATATTGGAGTTGTTGACCTGATGACATCATTTCCCTAAGCAGCACATTGCGTTGGTGCTTCTAGGGGACAGCGGTGGAGGTGGGCAATGAATCTGGTTGGTACTTCTGCATGGGATGTATTATGGGGCAGCCTTTTAAAAACAGCCTCTAATTTTATTCCCATAATTTGGTTCCTATAATCAATTGAAGGTGCAATTACGGCAGGTGGAAAAGACACTGAGTGATCCTGGCCCCATTGAAATCACTGTTAAAATTCCCATTGAGTGCAGCACAGATAGGATTCCATCCCGCATTTACGGTACATGTATAACTACCTGATTCAGCCCTAAAATGAGGTAGTTAGGTATCAAAGTGCTGTCATTACCACCTTCATTTAATAACATTTTACTGATTAAGGGAATAATATTCTGGTTACAAATTTAGAAGCTGAAATGAGTTCTCTTAAATATTTGGCCCTAAATTTTGTCTAGCCCTAATGGCGAGCCAGGCTGTGTTTTAACACTCATTTATTTCTAGATCAAAATTCTGATTAGCATCTGCAGTCTAATTTGATGCAGCATAATTAATTAGCCAGTCGGTGTTTTAGCAGAGCCAAGAAGTGGATTTTGTCCAGCAATTTAGATGAGTTCAGTTTTACTATGAGAAAAGCAGACACTCTTTCTTGATGACTGGTATGAATGGTGCTTCTCACTGACACAAAATGAAATCAAAGCAACCTGAGTGGGCTGAATGAAAAGCAATTGGCATAGCTTGGAATATGAGATGGGCAGAAGCCATGTGGTCCAGGGAGTTACAATGCTGCAGTATCCGTTCTTTTTGATTACTAACATGTGAGTTCCTTCTGCCTTGTCAGAACATGTTTTTAGTGAGTTTTGTGTTGATGAAACGTTGGAGAAACTTATGACCTCTGTTTAATGTACAGAATAAGTACAACATATGGGAGCTGTCCATAGACACTGCCCCACCAAGTGACTCAACCCTAACTTGTAGGCACCACCTCTGGTGGAAAGGTTCTGTCTATGTGTAATACTGACAGACCCCGGTTGTTGTCAGGCAGGATTGGGCCAAAAGAAATCTGATGAGGTTCAACAAGGACAAGTGCAGAGTCCTGTACTTAGGACGGAAGAATCCCATGCACTGCTACAGACTAGGAACCGAGTGACTAGGCAGCAGTTCTACAGAAAAGGACCTAGGGGTCACAGTGGACGAGAAGCTGGATATGATTCAACAGTGTGCCCTTGTTGCCAAGAAGGCTAACGGCATTTTTGGCTGTATAAGTAGGAGCATTGCCAGCAGATCGAGGGACATGATCGTTCCCCTCTATTCAGCATTGGTGAGGCCTCATCTGGACTATTGTGTCCAGTTTTGGGCCCCACACTACAAGAAGGATGTGGAAAAATTGGAAAGAGTCCAGCAGAGGGCAACAAAAATGATTAGGGGGCTGGAGCACATGACTTATGAGAAGAGGCTGAAGGAACTGGGATTATTTAGTCTGCAGAAGAGAAGAATGAGGGGGGATTTGGTAGCTGCTTTCAGCTACCTGAAAGGGGGTTCCAAATAGGATGGATCTAGACTGTTCTCAGTGGTAGCAGATGACAGAACAAGGAGAAATGGTCTCAAGTTGCAGTGGGGGGAGGTTTAGGTTGGATATTACGAAAAACTTTTTCACTAGGAGGGTGGTGAAGCACTGGAATGGGTTACCTAGGGAGGTGGTGGAATCTCCTTCCTCAGAGGTTTTTAAGGTCAGGCTTGACAAAGCCCTGGCTGGGATGATTTAGTTGGGGATTAGGTCCTGCTTTGAGCAGGGGGTTGGACTAGATGACCTCCAGAGGTCCCTTCCCATCCTAATATTCTATGATTGAACCTGGGACCTCTGCAGCTAAATGCATGAGCCTCTACTGCATGAGCTAAAAGCCACATGGCGGCTAGCTAAGGCTGTAGCAGATGCATTAATCTCTCGCTAAGTGGTCTTGGTGCCACTAGATGAGACAGTACCACACCCAGGAGGTGTGTGGGTTACATATGCAGTCTTTGGCCTCTCTGCTGACACTGTCAACCAAGGTTCCAAGCACTGCCATTTGGGATAAAGCCACCTATCCACTACAAACTGATCCAATTCTACCAGCTCACTCATTATGCTTGGTAGCCATCAAACAATCAACAGATGCTAATGAGTTTGGTCCATTTCCGACCTAACTAGTGACCTAGCAGTGAAAGGATAAATATCCTTTTACCAATTAATTCCCTGAACCATTCAGCCTTTTGGTTCTAGTACCATTTTACCAAATGACTTCCTTTTTTCATCTCCAGGTATTTTCTAACTAAAGTGAGACAAAATATTGTCAATTTAAAAAAACAGTTGGCATTTTTGACATCTGAGTGTCTCTGATTCCTTGACCGATGGGTTAGTACCTTTTACCTGGTGTCTGGGGAAATGTAGTCCTGCACGATGGACTGAATATTGTGTACTTTAATTAGAAGAAAGCAAAATCATACCCATGGCGATCATAAAAAGCAATATAATTTTACCAAATTGATACCAGTTAGTACTGCCCCAAATCCTCCTACCTCTGCATGTATTGCAAAACATGATTAATTAGCTTCAAAACACGTTTTTGTTTGAATGGGAGGGAAGGTGGGTGGGTGACTGTAGAAGGGAAATGTACGGAGGGGACAAATAAATCTTAGAAACAGAGGAAAGGTAATGGAAAAGCAAAAAAGAAAAGAATGTACTAGATAAAAGGAGAGAAAATCAAAGGTATCAAAGCCTCTGAAGTTATTGCTCTTTTCCTTTTATAAATTCAGTATTGCTAAGGGATTTCATAATTTTACTATGTAGCCATCTCTTTCTCTTGGGATCTATGCCCTCTTACCTTCCCTTTGAGCCAGACACAACTCCTGCTCTGTATAGTTAATAGAAGCATATAAAGAAGGGAATAAGCAACAATGAGGGAAACTCAGTGGCAGCGGAACATAAAAACAGAAGGTAATAATGTCAGTGTGTGACAAGAAAGGATATTTTATCTAGTTCTTACCATAGAGGATTGGGCATCAGGATTGTGTTACTGGCTCTGCCACTGACTCCCTACTTGGCCTTGGACAAATCACTTAATCCACCTTATCCTTCAGGGCAAAAACTAACCACCATCTAAAACAGGTGCAGGATGGAGGTCATATGAATTATCCAACACTGGTCTCTATTGGAAATAGGATTCTTGACCAAAGTGGTCTATTTCTATATGACATCTTACCTCTTTTATGTTGCTGTGAAGGCCATCATCTTGTCTGACATCAGAGACTGAACTGGAGATATCCACAGCTAGAAGAATAAGTCTCCACAAGTAGTGGTGAAGAGCCAGGCACTCAAGATGACAGCAGTAAAAAGACTCCCATCCTCTATGGATCAGGTGGTCAGGGGGACAGGTAAAACACACCCCAATCAGCAAGTTCCTTACATTTATTCTATACTAGACCTCCCCCAGAGCCATTTTAATTTAGGGCCAGATTCTGCTATGCTTATTTACTCACTCAATAGAGTACTGTTCAGTGTGAGTAAGTGTAGCAGAATCTTCCCTTATTGAGTTATTTATTTTCATTAGTGGAGGGTCATTTAGTTTCTGAGTAATTGAGATACTGGGTCATATAATGGCACTTGCAAAACTATGAATTATGGACATTTCCTCCTGCAAAGCTTGTTGTATGAGAGTTTTCTGCTTCCTTTCCTTTATGAGAAACACCTATAAAAATGGAGTGAAGGGAGGGAAATAGTTTTAATACCAATATTACCCATAGGGATGTGGTCTTTAATTTGGTTTTCTTTGAGGTGCCTCAGAGTATTATGCACAATTACCTCATGTAACAAGATGTGTGGCTAAGCAAAAACAAATGCCATGGCAGCTCCTTGCCACAAAGTGAAAAGTAAGACACCTTTCCAAGGGGGAAAACCAATATCAATTCATTAAACGGCCCATCCAACAGAAATGAGTAGCAGACAGCTAAATGATCACAGCAGGCAGCAAGAACCACACGGAGTGCAACCCAGCTTGGCATATTATCTTAATAGCACAAAACCTCTGGACCAAGTTCAAGAGAGTCAAGTAGGAATTTAATTCTTGATATAATTTTAAAAATGTTGCTCTTTAGTGGTACATTGTATTACAAAAAGTGAACAATATTGAGCATACGTGCTGGATTGACAGTCCTGGAGACAAGTGCTCTCTTTGAGTGTCATCCTGAGAAGTGCTGGTTATGTTCTTCAAGGGGCTGAGCCCCTCCTAAGAGCTACTGCTCAACACTGAAATCAATAGGCACTGAGGGTGCTAACCACCTTGCAAGAGGTACTCAGCATCTCACGGGACTGGGCTTGTTATCCACAATGGAAGTACAGTAGTGATGCAAACTTCTCCATACCATTCTTCCATTGTGCCATTGCTCCCCACACCTGGAGGAACCATCTCTAGAGGAGAGTTTGGTCTCCATGGCCATTTAGTCCTTTGGCCACTCAGCTTACTTAAATCAAGCAGCAATATAGACAGATGGGATCTGTACTCTCCACAAGTTGAGAATTAAAAAGGAGGGCAGCTATATACATCGGAGCATATTATTTGTTGATAAACAACCTTAGCAAATGTGGTATAGGTAACTGTGCAAATATGCCATAGGGGAGAAATTACGATTCTGTGTCCATCTATCTATCTGTAATACCCATCACTGTAGGGTTAAAAAGGTCTGACCAAAAGTTTCTTGAAGTCCACTGAAATGTTTCTATTGACTTCAGTAAGCTTTAGATCTAGCTCTAAATGCTTTTGCCCACATCTTTATCTGGTGTAAACTGGTATCGCTACAGTGATTTTTAAGAAACTGCACTAATTTATAGTATCTGAAGATCTGGCCTTTTAAAAATAACTTGGCAAGGTCCTCGTCTGGTGTAAATCAAGTGCTGACTTACACCAGCTCAGAATCTGGCCCCAAAAGCTGTTGTCCTGCTTAGCTGAGAAGAGCAATGCTGGGGTGCAATTTTGAGATCTTATAGAATAAGAGACTTAATTTAAAAAATAAAAGTAATCTAGACTGAAAACACATAAGAATCATGTCCTTTTAATCAAGGTATCTTTAATAATTAAAGATATAGCACTTAAATAAATATGCTTTTAAGTCTAAGCCTACAAACTCATTCCAAGTAAATAGCCAATTAAAAGCTGACAAACACGACTCTGTGACCAGTGTATTAATCAGAATTCTTCATACTGATTCTATACTGTTGTTCCAATTTTTTGCAGATGAGCAAACTGAAGCAAGAAGTGGTTACACGACTGTCTCAAGGTCAGCAAGTCAGGGGCAGCCTCAAGAACAAAACCGAAGTGTCCTGGCTCTCATTTCATTGCATTAACAAATAGAAAACAACGCCACATTTTGATTGCCTCATACTTAATCATTAGTATATGCCATACCACGAGAGTTAGCCACATTAATTCTGTCGAATATATAAAAAGTAAGAGCAAAAATAACTTTAACAAAAATGGAAGAAATAGGCATTTCTTGTTTTTTTTCCAAATGACTGAAATTTCTAATATACTGAACTGCTTAATGATTCACTGAACTCTGTTTGATTTGAAAGACAGAAAGTCTAAGAGATTTAAAGTACTGTTCTTTTTGAGCAGCAATTACTTGGCGATTTAATCAGCTATGCATTTACCAAAAAAAAAAAAAAAGTAGAAGCTATTTTACGTAGGAGAACAAAATGACTCACTAAATGAACCTTCACCACAGGGAAAAAATCCATATTACCATCAAAGTAGTGAACGTGATTCAAAGAAATATGCAATGAGACTTGACAGTGAAGATTTGTGGGCTGGAAAGTCACCTAAGTTCATTCTGCAGCCTTCAGCCAAAGAAGATCTAATGCTTGATTGTACTGTCAGATATGAAGGTTGTATTGCAGTTGCTGGAGATATGGAGATGTGTGGAGCATGAGGATGCAGATCTGTATATTAACCTTTTTGTGTCTTGTCCACTTGTAATTCTAGTACCAGCTTTTAACTCAGAGTGTTGGAATTTACCAATAACAACAGCTTCTGCTGTAGTTGCTAGTTGTGATAAAATTACATTGGCTGCTAAGTCTCATGGTTGGGGAAGAAATCTGACCCACAGTAAAGCTGGGTAAATAAAGAAAAAGTGCATCAAATACCTACAGCTATTATATTGTAAATCTTTTATATTGGCACATCTGCTTACAACACATTAGGGCACAGATCACTGTTAAGGTTTCCATGAGAGTTGTGTCACTTGACCTACAGAAGTAATTGCTAGCAACTACTTATTTCAGACACTAAAGAACAACTTCACACACTTTCCCAGTAGGCGATGCAACTGTTTGCTGGACAGCAAAGGTATACCAGAGATCAGGAATCCCGGATTGTATCTGGCAGAAGAGTGTGGCTTAGGGGTTAGAGATAGGATAATGAAAGTATATTCATTGTGGAAGGTGGTGTGATTGAAGGTGGTATGGCTGAATAGCTATGATTTGGATCTACCATGTGAGAGTCCTAGCTTCTATTCCTGACTCTACCTGCAGTTACCATTCCTCCACCTTCTCTTCCACCCCCAGGCACCTTGAGGAAGTGTATTGCATCACATGTACAGCACTATACATAGCATCACACTAAAGTGATGGAAGAAGTGTTCTTTAGTACGCCCTCCATTTTGTTACGCAATGTGGTCATATAGCCTAAAGTAATCATATTTGGGGAAAATGTATGAATGGCCAGATGGACAATATAGACATCATCCTTCTACCTCATGATCCAGAAATTTGCTGGAGGAAGGCTGGGAAAAACCTAAAACGGGACATATGACGTTTACATTTGTGTTGGCTTCAAAATTTATTTTGAATTGGTGAACATAGGGCACTGTCCATAGACAGACAGACATAGATTATGCTAATTTTAAGATTATGCTTTGAAAAGGCACCTAACTTATTGGATACCACAGAGCAAAGGCATGTTTATGGAGATATGGACAACATTTGAAAAAAATATAAATCGACAATTACTTGCCTTACTCAACGGGCAGCTATATACTTTTGTAGCTGGATGACAATGTGGAAAGTGTTCACTCACCAATGGACACATTGTGTGTTGATATTGTGTACCCTTGACAAATACAAATGTTTACTTTTAATAACGCCTTGAGGTTAAAACATCAAAGCTAGGATATGTGCTCTACTTTAATGGCACAGAGGAAGCAGGTTCTCTAAGTGGAAATTTTAGAACCCAGACAACAAACTTCGTGGTTCAACCTCAGCCTGTGTGGTATTCATTGACAGTACCAGATAGACAGGCATATTGCTATTTATTTAGGAGAATTTTCCCACCATTTTATCTCCCTTTTCAAGCAAGCTCTGTAACACAAGAATGATACAATATATAATGAGCAGAAATGGACTGAGACACAGATCCAGATTATCTACTGAAACCTGGCCTCTTTGCACCATTCAGGTGGTACAAAGGGGCTGGAATCTGGCTGAAAGGGGCTACTAGGATAAAACTGGAGGAGGCAGCTCCTCTGCTGGTTCCCTCCCTCACCCCCCGGTGTAAAGGGTGTGTCAGGGGCAGAAGGATGCAGGGAAAGGCAAAGAGCATTGTGTCAGAGCAGAGCTATCCTCCCTTGGCCTAGGTTCCATTAGAGACCTTAAATCAGTGGCTGCTCTGACTCGTTCCAGGGCTGGGGCCTGTGCAGTTTCATCCTCAAGCCAGCCTGGCTGTTGGAGAAAATCTGGCCCACAGAGTTTGGATTGGAATCCTGGTCTCTCTTGATCAAAGTGAGAGGATGTTAGGGGAATGAGGAATCAGTCTGTTGAGAAATTAGGGTGCATCAAAACACTCAGTTACATTTTAAACAATAGGGGTGGGCCCCAGATTCAAAGCTAGGATCCAGATCCAAACTATCACAAAGTTCAGGGGCTGCCGATCATCCCCTCATAGGGCTAGGGGCCAGCCTAAAGTTTGGGATCGAGCCAAATTTACCCAAGTCCAAGTATATTGAGATGCAGGGTTTTGGTTGAACCCAAACTTTCTTTAAAAATTTTCATTGACTGAGCCTAAACTATGCCTTGCACATCGGGCCACATGTCTGGTCTGCTAAACTGCTTCTTTAACAATTTCAGAGTAGCAGCCGTGTTAGTCTGTATCCGCAAAAAGAACAGGAGTACTTGTGGCACCTTAGAGACTAACAAATTTATTAGAGCATAAGCTTTCGAAGTGGGCTGTAGTCCACGAAA